AGTGTTGTCAGTCGGGGATCGAATACCACGGTCCACGGACATTTATTTGCTTGTTGATTAAAATCGAATAATTTCACATAAAACAGATTAAATAGGTATCATTTTTCTAAAACATAGACGAAAAATGTGAAAAAGAAATTTGGAGTTCTAATTGAACTCTTTGGCGGCACTGCTATCAGTTGCTTCAGCGGATTTAGAATTTAGCTTTCGAAAAGCTTATTTAGTCAAGACATCTATTTATATCGACAACTTCAATACGACGTACAATTGATGGTTTAGCTATTCTCTTGCGTGTTTAAACACAGTTTGTTGGTTATCGTGATAACTTATTAATAAACGATTTGCTATTTAAATACACATACATAATATACATCTAGGATTATGTATTGTGATGGTAAAAACATAATAATATGTTAAATAAATAATATACATTATGTATATTTTTTAAGTACAACTGTCAAGTAAAACATTTAATTTCTCAGTACTTTTCAAAATATTAGTTTTTTTATTATGACAACATTATTGCTTTCGGGTAACAAAACTTAACTTGATAGTTTAAGACAAGGTCCCTCATAAGTTTTCTTTTCCATGTTTAAAAATTATTAAATATACATAGGTAATCACAATTTTTTTAACCGTTTTAAGTTAAAACTTTACAAATAACATCAAAATCGTGAAAATTTACAAATTGTATTGAAATTAAACTCATACAAATTTTAATATAGAAGACTTGATAATTTAGTGTAAAGCCATAAATATTTTTTGTAGAGCGATCAAATTTCAAATGTTGACATTAGATATTCAAACGTGTAATAACGATTTCTATCTCCAACCAATTTGTGATTATTAATTATTGTTTAAAACTATTAATCGCAAAAACTTAAAACATTTTAAATATCAATATCATTCCAAATATTATTTAAACGATTATTTTCTATGCTCAATGAAATTTTCAAAATATTTAGAAAAATTTTAAGTTATTTAAATATAAGAATGATTTTAATTTTTTATTCTTAAGTATTGATAAACAAATTTAGGCTCAGTCAAAAAGCTTAAAAATTAAATACAAGATCCTACATATTTTTTCTTATGCCGATTCAAAAATATTAAAGAAAGTTTAAATATACATTTTGACGAAATTAGATATTTAAACGATGAAGTTATTTTGTAGTACCAAATTCAAAAATATTGTTCGTCGGTACATGAAACTTTTACAAATTGTATGATTATATTTTACTATCTACAACAATATTCTCAAAATATTAATAAAATATTAATTTTAAGGTGTTCCCTAAAGGTAATAATTAATTCACCCCACCATAACCAGGACGTGACAAAAAGATATTGCCTCCCCTCTTAACCATAAACCATATTATTTTGGCCGAATATGACAATGTAGAAAAATAAAAATTGGTTGCTTCTATAATAAAATCTCCTATAGAGAAAGTTTTACCTGGTACATTTGGACTTGGACAAATAATAATATATTATCATTTAGGTTTCAAATGTTATCATATAATAAAGGTCGTGTGGTAGCCACTGGCGGTATAAAGCATAACGGCCGTTATCCTGCAAATGTACAATATATAGAAGTCTCAAGTCGAATGTGTCATTACATTACGACTACCTACCAGCGATGATGTATAGTGATACAATTTACCACCTAATGCCATATATTATGACGCTTGCGGTGTGGAATGTGGACGTAGCGTTTAAGTTACGGTAATACGGTACCTACTGAATACCTATACATTTGATTATTTTATCGAAATATAAATGTACAATATATTTATGACCCGAAATTTGATATGCGTTTGCGTGTATTAAATACCTAATGCTCCGAGAATATGTACGTCATCTAGATTAACTACAGAGTTTTATACTTAGTAAACAGCAATTAAAGATAATAATTGTTGTCAAATATTATAACCACACAACACAGCGTTTACAAGCCCGGATTAAAAATCCATTGAGACCAGGAATAGACACATTAAGTGGGCCCTTCTTTCAACTCTAAAACATAAAACCCTTTCACTAAACAATTTTTAATTACCTACTACTTTTTAACGGCTGTCTATGATTGAATAATTTTATACTGTTTAAAATAAAATAAAAAAGGATGAACAAATGGGCACCATTGTACTGTACATAGAGTTCTAAACTCTAATAGGGTCAGTAAATTTTAATTCAATTATATTAAATCATTGTACACAAAAAACGATTTTGATAGATAACGGTCTGTCAGCCTACCTATATTATAAAGTTTTTTTTATGATACTATTGTATTTTATTTTATTATTAGATATTACTAATACGGTAAGTTGCATTAATTTTTGCCAAACAAATTGTATTTTAAAATTTCATAGTGTGTTTACAATAGAATAATATACTATACAAGTTTCAAATATACAAAAATATTTTTAAATTACAATAAAATAACTTAAATTGTTATTCTTCGTTTAATATTTAATTTTGTCCAAATTTGAACGTAAAATATCTATCAAAAAAAAACTGTGTTTATTTATTTTTTGGATTTTTTGATACAATACCTAAAAATAACTAAATCGGGTGGCACTAAAATTATGAACTATACAATTTGTTTACTATACAAATTATACTGTATAGGCTGTAAATAATTTTAATAAAAAATAAAAAAAACATTTTTGGTTACATTATAAAATACTTAGCTTTAAATATTTAAACCTTGCTATAAAAATTTAACATTTGATACACTTTTGTGATTTTTATGAATTTTGTCAAAATTTGAACTTTAAATGTTTAAAAATAAAATTGTGCCTATGTTACTTGAATATTTTTTATCGACAGTATTTTTAAAAAAGTTAATAGAAAATTCCTCATGTCTATTAATAGCTCAGAACAAGTCAAAATATTTTACATGTATAGCAAATGATAAAATAAACATTTAGTGAAAAATTCAAGTATATATGGTTTTTTTTTAATTACACTAAAAAACAAAATAAATTTTATCGAATAGGTATTTATTTTGAATACAAACCTAACCTTCATTTTTATTGATGTTTAAAACTCTTAGGAATTTTCCATTTGACCTCTTTAAAGTAGATTCACTTTCCCACTAGAAAAGGTAATGAAATTAAAAATCTAAGCATTATTTTGACTACCTATTGTGTATTGTATAAAAAAAAAACGGTCACACATCATTGCAAAATCAATACATTCTCATTCCTAAACTGAGAATCTAAAATTATGATATTTAATAAGATTATAGTACTATAGTAAAATAATAAATTGTGTAATAGTATATTATACATAACTATGAATTACTAAAAATAAATATTCTATAATTGTCCCAATCCTTGAAGTATTAAATTATATTTTAAACGTTAGACACGTTAATACAAATATTGTTACTTCACTCGAATAAATCAAAAATACCTATTATCAATTAATAATTTAATAAGTGTACAGTGGTTAAAATAATTAATTTCTTATGAAATTTCTTTCACTTATCAAAAATAATCTCATTTTTTGAATGTACTATATGCAGTATGCACCACATACAAAAAATATAAATAAATATAGTTTTAAATTATAAGATACAGTATACCCAACACCCATATCGATAACTTATACTATTAAAACTAAAATAACCGTGTTCCAAGCAAGGGAGCAATAAATTAAGTTTATTGTATTATGTATGTTGTTTACAATTTATTCGAAAAATACTAAGTTTAAATATGACTTTTACATTTTATTTCAATTGTTTCAGTATAGTTATAGTCTAATGAGTAATGATGAAATTAGCGTAAAGCGTCCAATGGTTTCAACTTGTGAGTATCTAATGCTTAGATTCTTAAATTGTAAGCTCTAAATCTGGTACCCCTTAATAGTTATTCAAATCTATTATACATTTTTTGCTAAATGAGTAAGGTCTCTAATTATAGATACCAAATTTTTTCTATTTTACTATAAGTAGCCCATTATTAAGAACTCTGATGTCCATAGATGCGCCAATGAAAATTAATCAGGTGTAAATTAATAACATATACAAATGTCAAAAAAGAAAAAATATTGATTAATCAAATTATAATAAGAATAGAATGCATAAATGTCTTACTCAGATTTTGTTAATTTTTTTTCGACAATAGTCAATGACACTTATTAAAATGTATTGTACTGTATTTATTAGATTTATGCTAATTTATCTTTATTTCATAAACTATAGAAAACATGGTGTTATTTGTTAAATATGTAGTAAATAATAAATATATTATATACAATATACTACAAAATATAAACATAAAGTCATGAATAGATCAAAATATGGATGTATTTATAATGTGTATAATAAGTAATAACTGTATGATATTATAAAACTAAATACACAATTGATCTTCTCATCAAATACTTAATTAATTATAATTGAACTTTAAATGATATGTAATTAATATAATAAATTATCTTGTCACTAACATCACAACATACAACATACTTTGAATGGTAAAATAGCTAGTATCTATTATTTAATGTAAATTGTCTTAATTCACAATAGTTGTTCATATTCAATTTATGATACAACACATTCTAGTACTAAGTCATATTATTGCTTGCTACTGGAATAAAATCCAACTTTAATTATATTCACATTTTAATGCATCCTTTGCATCTTTTAATTCAAATCTTTCAGACTAATATATGGCCACTTCTGATTTAATTATATTATTATTTATTACTCATAATATAGAGATAAATAGTTAGTATTCATAATTACTGGTTATTATCATACCAATTTTTGAAATGCATTGCACAATTTCACAATAGAATGGTTTACAACACATAATCATAATTTTTATTCAACATTCTAGACTTTTTTCAGTTTGTCTTAAAACACATAAAAATAAAATAATTGAATGATTCAAAATACCTAGTCTTAGTTCAGGCTTGACAAGAGTCGTTCTTAAGATGGTATGATATAATATAGGTTAGAGCCAACATTTTTATAATATTATTTCTGAAATTACCTGATGGTTTAAAAGCTTTAATAGCAAACGGAACAACAAGATGTGGATGAGGCAAGTCTAGGAATACAGCATCAGCTTTACCAGTAACATCGTCACTAAATCCATTTTGACAAACATCTCTATGTATACAAAACATCATTATATAATTAAAACCAGGTAACCAAATCTTCAAAACCAATGTGCTATAAGTGTAGCATCAACACTATAAACAAAACAAATTCAAATTACCTGCATTGACTAGTGACATTCTCAGATAAACCATGGGATTTAAACTCTTTTTGGGCCTGATCTGCTCTTTGTTCATGAAAATCATAAGTATAAATGTGTCCAGAAGGTTTTACTCTAAAGGCCATGGCATGAGTCAACGATCCACTTCCGGTACCTAAAAGTAATACATTACATCAAATATAGACACATAGGGTAAATTAATGCAAAAATAATAATAGTAGGCACGTTACCCGACTCAACCACAATGCTTCCAGGTTTAAGTTCTAACATGAACATAATTAAACTTATGTCTGGCGTGTATATAATTTGAGTTCTGTGCGGCAGTGTCTGTGTCCAAAGTTCAGGAGTTGGATACAGAACATGAGCCCACCCATTGGACAAACTCACTTTTGATCCAAACTGTTTCCCGAATAACGATGAAATCTTTAACGCTCCATACTTAGTCTGCATAACATTCTCAATCTTTTCTCCTTTGCGATTTTCAATTACTGACTGGGCCTGTATAGCGTACATGGCTTGTGGATTTATATACAATATGACCGTGTCGCCTTCTTCAATAATGTCTTTGTAGCGGTTGAAACTCATTTCTGATGACCAAAAAAAATTAAATATCTAATTAAATTTTGTTACAGAGTTAGCATATTATTTATGTTTTGTTTAAAGCAGTAAATCCCAGGCGGCACACTTACTGTACTTTCGGCTTTCGGTTGTGATGTAAAAACCGGTGTTGCAAAACGAAGATTATTCAATATCGATTCGAATTTCATGAATTTTTACCAATTCAAAGTGTTGACCAACTGTCTAACTTTTCAGACGTTACGAGATGTGCAAACGATCAGGTAAAATGACAAATATAGTGAATTATAATATTACTTCTAAGTCAGATTTTCAAAAATTCGTCGCGGAAACCGTTCTCAATGTTCTTATCACTGCCATCAAAACAATGTTATCGTGTAAACACCAAGCGACTTCATTGGCACGTTTTTCATAACCATGATTAATGATAATAATGTGCAATAGAAAAATGTGTACTGACCCATAACACTGTCTGGCGGTCCTCTCTACTTAAAATAATTTACATTAACCGCGGTTTTTTGAAATGATTAATTATATATTTTACATTTCACAATGTATAATTAAGTTAACAGAACTACAGAACATAATATAATTTTATTTTATTTGAATAAACTCAAGGAAATTTTATAGAATCTATATGAGAAATGCGAATTGCGAGTGTGTTTATCGTCGATCCCTCGAATATTGCGTGCAAACACCGAAAACACTTTTCACACTAAAATTTGGAGTTATGATCTAATTGAATTAGTTGGAATCAATGTTTTTTTATTTGTTTTCAAACTAGTTTTATTATTTTTTCATATTTAATATTTTTAAAAAATGTATGATTAATTTATGTTAGTTTTTTAATGATAAAAATTTCAAATGTTCAGGCACATCAGTGGATGTGCCACGACACACCCTTTGACAAAATACTGATATACCTAAACTTAAAAAGTTAAATCGGGATTGCTCAAATCATTTTTATAGAACCTTTTAAAGTGAAGGAACAAACCCATTTACTACTTTAACAGTAACCATTGGCTATTGTACTTTAGTACATGTTCTGTATTATATCTTGATTAGGTATAAAAGTGTAAAAACTATACCGTTCAAAAAAAAGTTTATTTCATCATATTTTATAAAAAGAAGCAACCAAGATATATTTTCTACAACATTACAAATACTTACCTAGGTACGTACACCTATAGTGGTATAAGAATGTCTGCGGCCTATTCCTTTTAAAATAAAAAAAAAAAAACAAGATGGACAATTATTGTAGAACTTATTGTTACACTGCACATGTTTAGCTCAGCTGCTAGCAGAATTAGGTAACCTACTTATAGAATAGGTATTCTTTTTAAATTAACGGTATTTTTAAACAGATTTTACATTAATTTAATTTGATGACTATGTGCAATGTGCATAGGCGCAATTTAGGGTGGCTTATCATAGGCGTAACTAGACTTTAGAGTTGGGGGAAGGGCTACCATCTTTATAATTAGTGACCCCAAGTAGAGCCTCTCACACATCCCCAACATGTTACAATGTTACATTAATTGTTACAAAATGTAATTCAATTAATATTTCATTTGATTATTATAGTGTGTACTAATTTGCTTAGTAATATTCATACCGATAAAGTATAATTCAGCACTTTAATGCCCAGATACTTTACAAGAATTGGACCTTAAAGAGATCAGAAATTAAACAAAGAATTAATTTTGAAAACACCAAAAAGAAAAATGGAAATTTTATTAAAATAGAATATTAATTTTAAGTAAACAATAACATAGTAATATATCTAAGTAGACTGTTTAGACTACTGTACAATAAAATAATAAATAGTATATGAATAGGTTGTTTCTGTCTTTTAGAATAACATCGATACAATAATTCAAATGTTTTACAATATTGTTCTAATTTTTAGACAACTTTAGACAACTTTTTAACAACTAATATTGTACTATAACTATTATGGCGACAATTTATCTCTGTTTACTGTTTGGATTGAGCAAACAATTTTTAAAAATATGATTAGAGGTAACTCAATTATATTGTTTCTATACATAAAGAAAACTTAAAACTATCAGACACTTGGCCGTTTCAACATACTTTCAAAATAATACATTATATAAATTTAGTAAATAGTATTTAGAAATAAAAATTCAATTATTGATTTAAATTGTTCACAGTTGTAACATGGAGAAAATAAATAGTCTTTTTGATAGCAAAACATGAAGTAAAAACAACTTATAACCATCCCAACATTTTATAATATTGTGTCAATATAAATCAAAATTAAAATAATACACACATAAAAAAAAAAATAATACATATTAATGGAAGACATTTAATTTTACTAGTTCCACAATGCAAAACTTAACATAATACGATAATATTTTATCTTGATATTTTGTGATAATTTGATAATTTGAATATAATAGAAACTTGATTACCGTAATTGTATCATAATTTTTTGAATCATGAGCTACCCTGTGCATAATACTCTTGAATCTCACAAAAAAAAAAAAAATGATTTATAATAGGTATGACAATTGAAAATGTAATACAAATGTCCATTGTTTTTTTTTGTCATACATAATACTTAAAATGGAAAACATTTAATGTAATTAAACACAATAAACATTATAAAAATATTAAAATTCAACATAGTATAAACTGTAAAATAATGAAATAAATTTAAAGATAAATACCCTTATGGAAATTTAAATTTTTAAATTACAACACTTCCAAGAAATTTTATCAAAAATATATCTCGAAATCTTTTTTATAAATATTTGTGTTGTATAACAGTAATCTATTTTATATAATAAAATATTGTATAAAATAAAAGATAAAATGTAGGTATCAATAATCATTGTGTAAAATTCTAGTTGACATGAATTAGTAACTCCATTACTATTTCACAACCAAAATTCAGATATAGTTTGGAATTATCTTTTAACATAAATGTAAATTTTTATAATCTACTACTAATAGGAATATGATTTTATTAGTATTTTCTTTCCCAATATGTTAACATTAGAGTTTTATAAAATCTTTGAAATTCTCATAATCAGAATCAGATGCAAATATTTTTGACAGCTGACTAAAAGTTGGACGCTCTTTGGGTTCATACGCCCAACACATCTCCATTGTTTTGTAAACTTCCATAGGACACCTTGGAGTTTTTTGTAACCTCTCTCCTTTTTCCAAAATACCAATCACTTCAACACCTTTCATGTTTTCATAGGGTTGCTGTCCATAAGAAAACATTTCCCACAGCGTAATACCATAGCTCCACACATCACTAGCACTAGAAAATGTTCCGTAATTGCATGATTCAGGTGCATACCATTTAATTGGCCAACGTCCACCATGTGAAGCTCTATAATAGTCCTTATCAACATTTAATGTACGTGACAGACCAAAATCGCTAATTTTGGCTTGGTGTCTATCTGCTAAAAGAATGTTTCTAGCTGCCAAATCCCTGTGAACAAAACGTTTTTGTTCTAAGTAACACATACCAGAAGCTATTTGAGCGGCCCACATTTTTAACTCGTAATTTGGACTGATGAGTTCGGGGTGTGTGACAATGTGAGTCAACATAGAACCAAGTGAAATGAGCTCTTGAACCATCAACAATGGCGGCCCTTCACATATGCCAATCAATCTTATAATACATTCGTGGTTTAAACTCATCATGACATGAGCTTCACGTAAAAATTCTGATTTATTGGTTGAAGACATGTCGTAACGTAACATTTTGATTGCTACTTTTTCTTCAAAACCGTCTCGGTTTTGAAAAGTTCCTTTATAAACTGAACCAAATTCGCCTTCACCAATCACTTCATCTAAAATCAAATTGTCTCTCATAATATTGTCTTGAAATTCAGTTTGATGTTTTTGTTTTGGCTTCTTTAATGTAAACGGAAATCCTTTTGGTAGGGGTGGAATAACTGCTGGACTAACAGGCACTTCTAATTTGTTCGGTAAACCATCAGGAAATAATATATAATGTTGAATTAGATGTTCCAACGAATTCAGATATGGCCCATTATCAATAAAATAATATTTTTCGCGATCTTGGATCTGGAAATGATAACATTGATTAGTACACATCATAGATAAGACATAGCCATTCTGCCTATTCATTCTGACTAAAAAACAACCGTCGACATCTTTTGTTTTCAATATTGCTGTGGCTTCATGACGATCAAGCTTGCCATGATACCATTGATCTTTCCTCGAAGATGGGGTAGGAGAAACAAACTCATTCAACATTTGTTCAACTTCAGTGTGTCCATTAGTACGTGCCAAATCTGCAGGTAGAAGATCGTCAAAAGTGCGTGGCCTTGATGGAGCATTCATAGACAGCAACAAAGACACAATATCTGCATGGCCTCGGCTTGATGCTTCGTGTAGAGCTACCCACCCAGTCGAAGAATTTCTCAATTGAATATTTGCACCGCCGATCGTCAATAGAATTTTCACAGTGCTCAATAAATTGTTCTGACAAGCGAAATGTAAAGGAGTGTAGCCTTCTGTGTCTCTACAATTCACATTGGCTCCACATGAAATGAGTTTCTCTACAATTTGATCATGGCCCATCTGACTAGCTAAATGCAATGCAGTTTGTCCCTCTTGGTTTTTAGCTTCTAAATTCCGATACCCACATTTTAACAGCTCCGTAACCACTTTGCAATTAGCTTGTGTAATGGCTCTGTGCAAGAGATTAGTACGTCCATGTCTCCTGGTATCGTGAGGTGGAGGATCTTTGACAATAGGGTTGGACAGTTGTACTCCTAAGCTTGGATCATTTACTTTACAATAATGTTCAATTAATGTTTCTAACCCATGCATGATATTTTGTTCGTCAATAGAGAAAAATGCATCTTCACCATGACGTCGTATTTGGTAGTGTACCACTTCATTGTTTTGTAACACACATAGCACATAGTCTCCGGATGCAGAATTGCTTTCTCGTACTAAAAATAGACCGTCCGCCTTACTTTCATGGTCTAATAGAATAATTTCAGCTGTGTCCCTTGATATTTTTCCATGGTACCAATTAATATCACCATTTTCACTGTGGTTGTTCATTATTGTTATGATAATAGCAAATACCTAATAAACAAATAAAAATACATAATTTAACTATATAAAAACGCATTAAAAAAAAATTATATACAAAATTAATGTACCTAAAAAAATCTAAATAACAAAATATTTGCATCAAAATGTTTTTTTTTTAAAATCTACTTCAGTAGGATAATGTGAGGCAGTAAAATATATAATTAAGATATCTTAAAAATAATACTTCTAATATCTAACCAAAGTGATAAAATTAATAACTTTATCCTTGATTTCTCATAAAATAACTTCTAAAATTAGATAACAAACATTTTGCCATATCATAAGAGCCATGAATTATTTATGCATTATAATGATTGGGTTATTTTATCAAATTTTAAATACTTTGAGTCTTTGACCCACAGAAAAAAAAATTACACAACAAAGTTTATAACTATTTACTTAATAGTTAAATAGATAAAAATGTTTATTTTTAAGTTATGGTTAATTTAATAGAATTATATTGGATAATATGTTCAATACACTAGGTATTATTTAACATCACTATATTTTGTTATTATCATAGTTTAGATACTTTTACTTGTAATTTTATAAAGAGCTAAATAGTGTTAATTAACTTTATTAAATGAATAAATAAAAAATCAATCATTGAACAAAAACTAATAATTAATTTTGTAAACAAAATGTCGTAATAGTTCTAATTTTTAAATACATGAAACATAAAAATAAATACAGTAATTATATGTTTACAATTAGGTAGGTACTTATTAATGTTTTCATATAACTTTCTTGTAAAAGTATTAATTGAAACTAATTTTTAGTAGAAAAAAGATTAAGTTGGGACTTCTTATAACATTTTAGATTTATACCTACTTCAAATTATTATCAACAAATACAAAATATGTACCTTATACTCGTTCAATGCAAAATAAGTTTTATCAGTAAATACAGTTTCAATCAGACAAAAAAATTAATAATAACACCAATTATAAAATAAAAAGTAGCTTAGGCTTTGAAAATTACTTTTTCATTGAAAAATTACACCAATGTTCATAATATTTTGATGGGGTTATCCAAAAAAAAAAACGTCGCAAGCAGTACTCGAATGTAGAACCAATTTGTTTTGAATTTAACAAGTGTCTTGAAACTTCAACAATATCACAATGGTATCAATTATACGCTGCTAAATCAACATGAAACTGGTTTGTATTACATTGGTATTATTGTAATGATTATTAGTGACGGTGGCAATATCCTACTTACCTTAAATCGTTTAGTAATAATTAAAACGTCGAGCGAAGAAGGTTTTTGATCACGATTTTGGATGTGTGACTACTGAGTATATCTATTGTATTTGATTTGTTTTAAGTAAACAACTAGGAAGTGTGTTGGTCGATAAAAAAATGTTATGCTGCTCGCTATGCATATTATTGTACACCATATATGATATATAAATACGTATATACTACATATTATAAATAAGTGTGCGTGCGTAAAACACACTACAATATAATTGAATGAATGAACAATAACTATAAAGTATAAAGTCTAAATTAATTCAATTCATCTTCAGGTTTATAAAAAATTGTTATCTAATATCTATGATAAAAGTAAATAAATGAAAGAGATAAGCGATGTTACAGTGCGTGCAAAAGAACAAGAAAATATGTCGTACATTCTGCGCGTCTACAATATACGTTGTATACCATTTACCAATACAAGTTTATTTTGGTCATTTGGTGAAAAAATCTTGTTTCTACTGTTTCTACAATTATTTTTTTTTTATAACGAGTAATGAGGCGTCGAGGCCCGAGGAAGAGGAAAATGGGAAGTACCATAGAGTAATATTACTCTTTGGGAAGTACTAAAGCTTGTTTTTATTGTCGAATATTGTTCCCAGAACGGCATTTCAATGAGCCGTGGTTGTAAGCATATATTTAAAACCTTTATTTATTATCATCTTAATAAATATATATTTTGTGAATTATATTTGAAACGTTAAGTTTTATAGAAAAATGTATTCTATGAAATGCCGTTTTTGTTGTATCGAATCCGGACAAATGCCGTTCGTATTTGTGCTGCAAAAATCACTATGTATAGCAAAGCATAAGAAAAATGTGTTAAACTATATTAATTAGGTATTAGATGGAGTTTAGCCGTAACTGCGTTTCTTAATTTTTATTTTAATAACTGCACCCCAACTAATGTATACATTTATATTATAATATATATACAATTATATACATATATGATATATTATATTACTTTAAATAAGATGCATGCTGCAATGTAGTACATGTATAGATGCAGGGGGCCCAAGTTATAGAAAAGTATTATTGAATAATATTTTTACATAAATCTAACAACTATTTAATTTTTTTGTATTTGTAATACCTAAAGTATTATTGAATTCTATTAATATATTATTCATCTAATCATTTGTAAATTTATTGATTTGAATTGCATATTATTGTTTAATATTTTTACTTTTAATTTTTTGTTTTTCGAGAAATTGTCCCGTTTTAAACGGGTGGGAAACGTCCAATGCATCCAGGAGAGAGGCACGGGAGGAAACGTCGTAGGCCACTCCTAGATGCATTTTGTTGTAATTGAAAAAATATTCGTAGAGACTTGAAACTGTTTGCTATGACGCATACGTGTGATGTATCATTATTTACTATGCAAAAAGAAATAAAAAAAATTTTAAGACATTTTTCCTGCTTTTATCTATTCATATTTCGTCCAAAGACGAAGTGATTCAGTAATTTTACATTTTCCATCCATATATATAAGTATATAACGTATGCTCCGAGCACGATTAAAGACAATATTGAATAATATACCTACTATATTAATATTATTATCTTTAATCGTGGCTCCGAGATCTACTACCATCATAGGTATGTAGAATGAATACATTTATTAATACATCTATTTATCTATAACTACAAATTATAATATAGTCAGTTTGGATCCAAGAAGATGGGTGTTCATATGGGTCGTTGGGACGTTGGGTATCCAGTTTATCTTAATTCGTGTCTGGAACTATTACTGATTATTCGGATACATATTTGGTACCTAACTTCATGTATATGGGAAAAACGCTATTGTGATTTATTCCTTATCAACTCGCGTGTTACACTTTAACAGCTGACTGATTTTACACTTTATAGTTTTTTTTTTTGTTGTCGCAACTCTTTTCCAGAAAAATACAATAATAATAATATTCTAGTCGTTAACATCTGAATTAATGTTTATTATCGAGCTTGTGTCTTGCAAAGCGTTAACGCAACAAACGAGTTAAGTATTTGCTTTTCTTCTTTTGCACATATTTGTGTCTTAATATTTTTATCTTCGTCCACCGACATAGTTCGTTTTTTTTGTCTGGTGTACCATACCAGTGATCATTTTAGTGTAGAGGTAGTCAATAAATGTCCGTATTGTTGTGAGAGGGAATTCATCGCGATCGTTTGTGAAGAGACATTCGGTTTATGTTCTAGGCAAATTCATAATGAGCTTCCTATTGTGAGTGTTCTACAAAGTTCATTGGCTGCAACCGGCACTCCAGATATGTTATTCATGATCGTAAGCTTTATTTATTTTGTTTTTGCAGCGGAGGCCGATCATCAAAGACTTTTAAACCTAAGAAGAATATACCAGAAGGTACCCACCAATACGATCTGATGAAACACGCGGCAGCCACTCTTGGTTCCGGCAATCTGAGATTGGCTGTACTACTACCCGAGGGCGAAGATCTCAATGAATGGGTTGCTGTCAACAGTAAGTATCAATGCATATTCTCATATTCTTAACTTTGTCTTATAAGCATTTATTTATTGAAATAGTATGTACTCAAAATATGTATAAAATGACCAACAATATTCTAAATTACGCATTCTTAAAATTAAAATATTAGTACTTCAATAAATGTATAGTATATTTATCGCTGTATTGTATTACTCTATCATGATGTTCATATTTTTCATTATGTAACAATTTATATTTTGGAATATTTTCATGATTTAAATTTAATTTGTTGTTAGTTCCTAATTAAAATGCATTGAAATTAATTTCTAATTATTATAAAAGTTAGCAAATAATTTAATTGAACATCATAAATAATTTTCTGTAAATATATCACTACAACTAGTATAAATATTTACTTAAAGACTGAAATCATTAAGTTACAATATTTACATCCAAGATTAAACTTTAAAATCTAAATACCTACTGATAGTTAAATATTAAATACATTTTTTCTATTACACACAATTTTATAAGTGATGTAAGATTTTATTTCTTGTAATAATAATTCACTCTTTAAAATTGGCTCTAACTTGAAAAGTTTTTTATTCTTTAGATTCTTTTAGATTTTAAAAACCATATTATTACTAGCATTACTATTCGGTCATAATTAAACTATAATTAAACTACTAATTGTTACTAACTATACTATTAAAGTTTTATCGACATAAGTATTGTTTCTCGTATATTCTTCTGTAATCAATTTTTTTGGTAGATAATGATTAATGATGAATATAATACTCTTAAAAAATGTCTTATTTATAATTGGATGTATAGTTATAATTATGAACATGATAATTAATCTTTACAACTTTAAAGTTTCTAGAAATGCATTTCACCAAAATAATACTCTAGTATTATTTGTACTTTATATTTAAAGTTTATTTGGTATTTACTCAATTATGCTTCTTTGTGTACAACAAAGCATAATGTTTATTATAGCATATCTATTTGAAATATCACTAAAAATTAAATAAACTTTATTATATTATAGTGGTATAATATAAATGTAATTGTAGTATTTTTAATCAGTGTTCAAAACAGTTTATGTGTTTTACTTATAATTATTCCTGTACGCAAAACTATTTAATTGAATTAAATTATTATAAATATTTGTATAACAACTGATTAGGAATAACTATCTAGTATCTAAAATCTAGTATCATTAATTCGAATAATATATAAGTATTTTAGTTTTTAATAGACATTTATTTTTCAACATATTAATATAATTTGATTTAAAATATTGTAGTATTAAACAAAGTTAACTTTTGTTCCAGCTGTTGATTTTTTCAATCAAATAAACATGTTGTATGGTACAATAACGGAGTTTTGCACCGAGGAAAGTTGTTCTATAATGTCTGCTGGACCTAAATACGAATATCATTGGGCAGATGGCCTGACTGTAAAGAAACCAATTAAGTGTTCTGCTCCAAAATACATCGATTATTTGATGACTTGGGTTCAGGATCAATTGGACGATGAAACATTGTTTCCTTCAAAAATCGGTGTCCCATTTCCTAAAAACTTCTTATCGATTGCTAAGACAATACTTAAACGGTTATTCAGGGTGTATGCACATATATATCATACACATTTCGATTCAATTGTAACGCTTGGCGAGGAAGCACATCTCAACACATCTTTTAAGCATTTTATTTACTTTGTTCAGGTAAGTGAGCAAATTATTTTCAGTTCCTTAGTTAATATACTGGGTGAACCAAAAAGTATGCTCACCCCCCTTTTTTCTTAAATAACGAAGTTTTTTAAAATCTGATTTTTGGAATCTTTAAATATACTCAAAGACCATATTTTCATATTCTTGAGATTTTTGTGCCTCTTGAGGAGTGTCCTGTGGCGATACGAACCTTTTTTTTTGCAAATTATTTAGCGGATAATTTTTTTGAGTATTTTGATGTATTGAAATCAAAATTCGAATGAGTGGTTTTCTAGTTATTGGGCAATTTTTACTAAGGATAATAGTCCATAGTAAGGATATGCTTAATCAGTTCTACACATTGAATAAGTAAAATATCTAAATAAATCAAGAAGGATATTTTACTTGCTATTTATCTAAGTATTTGACTAAATAAATATAAAATGACGTATTATTTTATATTATGTGTATAGACTATAGATAACAACGTATACTGTAAAGCATATCCTTCTCCCCTATTATAAACTATATTATCCTTAGCACAAAATGTGTAATAACTAGAAAACTATTCGTTTGAATTTTGATTTCAATACATCAAAATTATCACCTAAATAATTTACAGTAAAAAAGTGGGGTTCCCATTTGAAAAACAAAAGTTTGTGTCGCCACAGGACACTCCTTAAGTGGTACAAAAAATCTCAAGAATATAAAAATATGGTCTTTGCGTATATTTAATGATTCCAAAAATCAGATTTTGAAAAACTTCATTATTAAAGAAAAAAAGAGGGTGAGCATACTTGTTGGATAGGTTAGGTTAGGTTAGGCTAACCTAACCATACTTTCTGTGTTAAATGGAAAAAAAAATGTTAGAATTAGTGATCACCTATATTTGCTGTCTTTGTTTTATGAACTTATAACAGAATATTTACTTTTAGTAGAATTCATTTAGTTTTGTTGGTTTTAATATTTAAGTAAATCAACTAACAAAATTCTAAATTTAAGAACATACCTAAATAAAATTAATTTTACAAGTTTTTGATATAGACCATTCTATGTAAAAAAAAACTAAATGTTTTTATTTCTGACAAACCGATTAATTTTAAATAAAAAACTATTATTTATGGATATTTTTTTTTAAGCGAATTATTTTTTCTGGATAGCTTGATATAGATTTAATTTAATTTTGATAATTATTATTTTTCTTCAACAGGAATTTGTACTAATTGATCGAAGAGAACTTGCTCCATTACAAGACTATATTGATAAATTGGCTGGCAGAGAAACTAGATAAGTGACTTAAAGGTGCTTGAAGAAGAATTGAACTTAGCACAATGAGTTTACAGCTTTAATCTTTCTGATGTGATGACTTATTTTTTTATTAAAAAAATAGTTCTCATACACAAACACACATATAAAAATTAATAATTAGGAAGTTAGTCAATTGGCATTCATTATATGTACAAACAAATATATTTTTATGTAATACTATTATCAATGCTATGATGCTAATCATTGATATAAGCACTATTCTGTATATTGTCTAGACAATCTTCCACCAAAGAAAATCCATTTAAGTATAGTTTCAGTTTTACTACTATTTTGTACGATTTTATAATAGAATTACTAATATATATATTATTATATTATAAATGACTAATATACATTAATTATTTATTTTTAGTATATACAGTGTGCCAGAATAGTAACTACTGTATGTAGGAATCTCTGAACAAAATTATCAGAACAACGAAATGTTTATTTTTAATGTAATTTATACCATATTATATTGCAATAATGCAATCTTATTTTATAGAGTTATTGCTTTTATATTAATTTTTAAACAGTAACTATTGTTGGTGCACTTGTGATAAATATATATCAGAAAAAAATTATTTGCATACTGTACAATTTAATATTGATACTATTTTTCTTTTCTTTTCAATATATTATTCCTAATAGATTTAATAGATTGACACAAGCCCTTTCAACATACATACTGGCATATGATCAAATATTATTATGGTTATCACACTGCCAATTGTTACATCTTATTACTTATTAATAACAGCATGAAATAGTTAAACTACTATCTTAATCCAGCAGGCCGATCACTCACTACATGATACCATCCCCTTTTGTGATTAAGCTGTTTCTATTTTAATTTCCTTATAGAGACACTGGGCCTTATTAAGAAAACTTGAGTGGATATCCGGGGCATTGAATGTTGTTACATACACAAATATCCTTAAATGATGTGATCCAATTATTATTAATAAAATTTATTTATTTATTAGTTCATTATTATCTAAATTCTAAACTAAACCATAATAATAGCGTATACTGTGATGTATACAATTATGTACAACATACCCAATATTTTTTCAGTATGCTCACCCACTATACTCATAACGTAACCAACTCTTGCCAGTTGCTGCCATTGCATTTTAGAATTTGAATACTATATTATTATATACAATTCAATATATTTGATAGAAATAAATTAAAAACATCTTAGACATTTATTTGTATAAATGTTTGCACCTAAAACATTTTGGAATGTATTTTTATAAATTGGGATTTAGCAACCTGTTGCGTATTATTCTTTTAATAATATAATGATACTCAATACTCAATAGGTATAAATTTAAAGCAAAACAATTTTTGATTTAGTGAAACATTATGACCTTTAAATAGACTCAAATTTTACAGTGAAACATTTATTACACTATTATTATTTAATATATTTTTTTAATGCCCTGTAGCTTTATTATTTTAACGACCCAAAGGTCTATATGAATATGTTAAACAATTATACATATTTTACACCTTGATGGAGTCACTTCCAATGAATTGGCTTCTACCTTAATCTAAAATCTTAAACAAAGTCGAATGATTTCAGATGCTTAAGACGTCTGATGTCCTTGGAGTTATCTTATAATTAAATGGCCGATGGATTGACATGGCGATCTAGCCTCGTTTCGTATTTGCGAGCAAACCTTTTTATTTTGTCTGCTATTGTAAGTAGCTTTATATCATAGAGATTTGCGTTGTTTCTTTTGAACTGGGAGGCTGCAGTGATGGTCTGAAGGGCAACGTTTTAACAGCATTGTATTACATGGGTGTTAGAATTACTGGCACACCCCCATAGTTGAATGCTGTGAATCCAGATTGGTTTTATAATTGCTATATACTGTAGACGTTTGTTTTTGATATTGAACTCGGAGTGGGGTCCGACTAACCAATAGTTTTTGCATTTTTCTTTAATCTGAATTTTTTTTTGACGGACGTGGTGTTTCCACTTTAGACAAAGACAAGTGTCAAGGTGCATTCCAAAATATTTAAAATGTGGAATATTTAATATTTAGTGGAAAATATATAAGGTATGTATGAAATAATTTTGATTGCAAATGTGTTCTCCATCCTATATAGTAGCTGTTATGTTTAATTATTGTTTACTTTTTAATTACTGATAAATGTTCAGTCCAGACTAGTTTAATTAATATGATCATCTAGTTAGTAGTTACTAGTTACATACCTACATGTAATTTTTCATTCTAGTAACAATGAATAATTTTCATAACTGAAATTACTATTTCACTGCACTCTGCAGTGTGTACCAAGTCTATTGTCTAGTAGCTGGTAGTTGGTGCTAGACTGCTGGAAAACCAATATTTGGGTTTTTCTTTTTTAGTTCATAATCATTTGAAAACCAAAATGACCACTGTGTGTCAAAACGTGAGTAGGAAAACAGTCAACAGTCCTACATGGTCCTAAACCCCTAAACCTAATATCTATCATACAAAATACATTATCTAGTGACATTGCATGGAAAATTTAAAACGCTCCTTGAGACGAATAGATGATGTTTCAGAGACGTAGCCAGGAATTTTCAATTTTGTATTGGGGAGGGGGGCTAAGTCACACTGAAAAGTCCACATAAACTTTCCTTCACTTACACTCTCTGAAAAATAATTTTTTCATTACTATAATATGGGCTAAAACAATTACGTCCAGTTGGGGCGGGGGGCTATTTTACGAACACTTGTTTTGCGGAGAGCTGACTTCTGAGGCTGACTGTGATTTTAGTCATTTTCGACCATAGAGTAATATTACTATATTTTTTAGACGCTGCAAATTGCAATTTTTTACCGCCATATCGACTTATCAGTGGTTGAAGATAATCTATTATCACTTATCAGTCAGCATGGCGCATACGAACTGTTGACTGCAGTCTGCAGTTAAGTGTTGACAGGAGTACGGCTTAATATTTTTCAACTTTTCAACGGTTGAAACTTTAAAGAAATACAGGTTGAAAATCAGTATCCTAACCATCAGTTCTTCTGGCTCTTCGTCAATCATCGGTGGTCGATGTTCCTGAAGATTGAAAACTGACACCTCCTTTAAGTACACTCGTCTCCGTGACTCAGTCGGTGGAACGATTGAAAATCATGAGCAACTACGCTATGGATGTCGATGTGGCAAAAGTCGGCTGTCTCGTTCCAAAAATGGACGACGTTAAAAAAGAGCTCCTCGTCAGCATGAATGAACTGTATGCCCGGGGTCTAAAAACTAGCTGCCAGTGGTGAGTGCCTTAATTGTTTTAATCTTTGTTGAGTCGCGCATCCCTGAAGTCTACTTGACCGTTATGTGTATAAGTGTATTGTGCAACGGACCCCTCCGAGAATTGAGAGTTGTGAATTGTTGGTTACATGCCAGAAAACACTACTCTAGGACTAATTCATTAATATTAGTTAGGTACATTTTTGTATGATTGTTAATATCTTATGCCTAATTTTGATGGCTATAAGGCGACAGTTGTTGTTTTAACTTATTTTTCTTGTCATATTAATCGACATTTTAAAATTCATTCTGACTTTCCCTGATATCTTAATTCACATTTTGACAGACTTCTTGCTTCATTCTTTTTAAAGTTATGTATAATGTAAGATAAACTAATTGTATAAGATTATTGAAAAGCAAACTGAACAAAATATTATTTAATGAAAATAGTAACTACTAGTTCCTGTCCACTGAGGAAAAGTAACTTAAAAGTTACTGATTTTTGTGATTTTTTGACTGATTACTAGCTTAATTAATTAATATTGTTTTTCCTTTTAATAATTTTTTTGTCATGGCCAGGTCTTCAGATCTTCTCCTATCACTTGAGGTCGGCAACAATCCAAAACCTTTAGCCAAAAAGATAGAAGGGTACAAGAGACCAAGAATCACCCGTAGTTGTCTAACCCCTGTGCATAAACGTATGTCGGTTTCAAAACCTACAGATCTATATTCCATAGACCAACTTCCAATACCATATCATGAAATGGAACGATATCTTCATGCTCGAACATGTTATAATGCCAAAGAATATCAAAGGTATTTTGTGCATTTAAAATTTAAAGTCTAAAATCTAGGTATATGCAATATTGTTACTGAGACATAATTTTTTTTTCAGAGCATCATTTTGGTTGAAAACTTGTCATTCAAATATACCATTATTTCTGAAAATGTATTCAGATTATTTGGCTGCTGACAGTAATATTAAAAACATTGGTAGTGAAGCGACACCTTCCATGTTTAAAGAATATCGAAATTTTTTAGACTATTTATCTCAGCTATTAGAGTCTATACGACAACAAAAAAAAGGGGATGGGTATTTGACATATTTACTTGGTGTGGTGTATGTAAAATTAGAGCAATATGAGGCTGCTGTTAATATGCTTGTGGAATCTATAAACGAGGTGCCACTCAATTGGCATGCATGGATGCAACTTGGCGATCTTATTGTAGATCGAGTTAAAGTGAATAAAATAAAATAAATCATGTATAAACCAGTTTATTTGCCAACTATAAATGTTTACATTGTTTCAGTTATCAAAGCTAGAGTTACCCAATCACTGGATGAAAAACTTCTTCTACTGTCAAAAATATTTGGACTTGCAGTTAAATGAACAGATGTTGGGTATGACACAATATTTGTTTAACTGTGGTTTCAGCGATAGCATATTTCTCCAATCTAGGGTGGCAGTTTGTTACCACAACAAAAGATGTAAGTATAAGACATCATTGCTATGAATCGTGGAAAAAACTCACAGAAAAAAATCTTAATATAAATATAAAGTCATGTATACATACTATATTGTGTTATAACTTATAACTAGGGCTAACAATTATATGCCCTAAAAATCTATAAATTATATATGCAGTTATTCCCTAAAAATTACCAAAATATGCTTTAAAAAAAATGTTATTGTAAAAAAATGATTAAATGATTAATTTTTTTTTATGTACTATACAATTTATACTATAATACAATATTATTTCCAATGAATAATGATTTACAAAAATGTGTGATATTAAAAAATATCAAAAATTAAAAAATTAAAGTAATAATTAATAAGTTAAACAAAAACATTAATCAAATGATAAACATTTAAATTTTTACCCGATGTTATGACATTGAACAATTAATGATTTGTATAAGTTTTCAAACAGCATTGAGCTTCGATTGTCCGTTAACAAATTTTTGTAGCCTGAAAAAGAACGTTCTACCTCAACGGATGTAATAGGTGCGTATTTATAATGCAACAAATTGTTGCTGGTCAAATCTTCTGGGATTCCTTCTAACGTGGATACATCACTGGAAAATACTTTAGAAATTTTCGTAAGAATATGAAAACCATTATTTTTTTAAAAAACATCTTCACATTTTTTGTTAATATCAGTGCCATTTGTACCACTAACTTCCTTTAAAATGGTCGATTTAATAACTCACCGCACGAATATAAAGAACAACTGACAACTGTAACAGGTGCGATACAATATAATATAATATTTATCTCTATGCAATACTGTTACCGATCAACAGACATATAATCGTTGACCCTGATAATTAGCGATTAAGATTAGATTACCTCTTTTCATAAATGAGCTGAAATACCAATAATAAGGTATATGAGTGAAACAAATTAATATTTTATAATTCCCAAGTTTTTAAGATCTTAAATAAGCTCCAAAAATATACTAAATTATAAAATATGCCCTAAAAATGCAAAAATACCATAATATGCAAAAATATGCAAAATAAAATTTTGTATGCAGCATCGTTAGGTTATAAAACAAATTTTGGTATAAACTAGCTATTTTTTTGACCTACCAATAGAAATATGCAAATGCATATAAGTGTTGACCCTACTTATAACATATAAGTTATAGGTCTTAGTCTATTCTAGTTCTCAGTCTTAGGTATAAATTACATTTATATAAAAATTTCACAACTAATAATAGTACCAGGTGTATCTTATATCATTATTATTTTTTAATAATTATGAATTATGATATGGGATTTAAAAAAAAACAAAAAAATGTGTTTCTTTTTTTTAATGGGAAATTTATTTATAACAATTTCAAAATATTTGAACGTTAGTTGTACCAACAGCAAAATCAACTTAATTTTTTTTAATGGGATCTGGTAAAGCTTTTTTTTCTGAAAAATTGTGGTAGTCAAATCATCAATGATGTTTTAATTTATTATTATGATCGTATTTAATTAATTACTTTATATTGTTTTCACCACAGTTACTTTTCTGACGATAGCAAAAATTTGTATTATTCAATATGTGGCTAAGGTAATAATAGTATAATGGAATTCGATTACTGACATTAATATGTCTTTAGTATGGGGGTCCAAAAAAAATTTGTGCAACAAAAAAAAAATGTTTTTTGGTGCTCTTCCGTGGTGATATAAACTTGAAATTTGAACCATAGCTTCCCTAAAATGGCCTTGCATGCAAAGTATGAATTTAGGAGTTAAAATACATACCCCTTTATCTCTTTTGGATGTTTACTACAGCATTTTATTTTGTAATTTTTCTACATAAACTTACAATACTTGCTTGTTGATATAAAAAAATAAACCCCAAGATCAGGACATATTAATTATTTTATGTTTTTTCCCAAAACTAGAGACATTTTTTCTATATTAATATTTGAAATCTGTAGTTATAAGTACCAACTTATATTGATATTGAATATTTATGTAAAAATATGGTTAATTTCATAATAGCTCAATGTGGAAATTAAATGAATTTAAAAAATAGTATTAAGTAAGTCCTTGTCCCAAGACATGAAAATTACTAATTAGAGTGAGACCAATAACAATAGTATTGAGAAGTTCACTTCTGCAGAATTGGAAAATGACAACTTGTCACTAAAAAATTTTTTTTTTAATCCATACATAAGACATACTAATGTCAATAATCGAAATTCCATTACACCTTTATACCATTATTACCTTAGCCATATATCGAAAAACACAATTTTTTGATTTTGTAAGAAAAGTAACTGTGGTGAAAAAAATATGAAGTAATTGATTCAATAACAATACTTTTTTTTTATGGTTGTATGTTAAATTAAAAATAATGAATTATGTTTGCCAACAATTTTTGTTGGCATTCATCTCAACATTTTTTATTGGGATGTTCATTAGTCATTAGATGACTGATTTTAGTGTATCAAAAAATAGTCGAAAGAAAAAATATTTAGCTCTTTTAAATTAAATTTATAGTTTATACCAATTACTTCAATTCAAAGTATTAATGCATTTACTAAACTTTAGAGGACCATAGTTAATAAACTAGTGAACCGAAATTGATGATTTGACTATCAAAATTTTCAAAAAAAAAAGTTTTACGAGAACCCATTAAAAATATAATTGTTACCATTTGAAAAAATTAAGTTGATTTTGCTGTTTGTACAACTGCGTGTTCGAAAATCTTAAAATTGTTATAAAATAATGTCGTGTTTAAAATAAAGAAACAGGTCTATTTTTGGTTTTTTTTTAAATCTCATATCATAACCCATAATTATTAAAAAAAACTTTGCTTACAATAACATAAAGTACACCGGGTTAATAAGTCAAGACAAAACTGGAGGTGGTACTTATATTAGTTAGTTGCTCAAGTTTAAAACAAGGGAAAAAACTCATCTTTGGATCTTCTTTTTTTTTATCATTCATCTTAGTAACAACAGCTCGTAGACCATCAGTTATTATTATTAGATATTTATTATTATTTATTACTATTTGTTATCTATATTATGTTCTATTAAGTATTATTGTATTAAGATTTTTTGAATTATAATCAACAAAATATTTTTAAAATATAAAGTAGTACAATTGTACTTGCAAATGGTACTTGCATGGACTTTTATTTATATGGGCTTTTTGTCCGCCTACCCATTACTGTATAGACCAGTTTGCGCTAATTAATATTTAATATATTATAGACATTGAAATAGCAGTTCAGAAGTTTCAAGAGCTAATTGAAATTGAACCTTGTCGGCTGGAAAATATGGATACTTATTCAAATTTATTGTATGTGCAACATCAACGGGTTGAACTAGCTTATCTTGCTCAGCGAGCCGTTAGAATTGATAAATATCGAGTGGAAACGTGTTGTATTTTGGGCAACTATTACAGTCTTCATGGGGAACATCAAAAAGCAATGCGTTATTTTCATCGTGCTCTTAAATTGAATCCTCTATACTTGGCTGCCTGGACACTACTTGGTCAAGAATATATGGAACTTAAAAATTCAAATGATGCTATACAAAGTTACAGCAAAGCTTTGGGTGTGTGTTGTAATAACTATTATAATTTTTATGGATTATAATTCATGATTTTGTTACAGAAATAAACAAATATGAGTACAGAGCGTGGTATGGTTTGGGTCAAACGTATGAAATACTTGGTATGTTCAAACACAGCCTTCATTTTTTCAAGCAAGCACAGTTACTGAGACCGTTTGACAGTCGTATGATAATTGCTGTTGGCAATGTATATGAGAAATTAGGTAATATAGACATGGCATTTCAAAGCTACCTAAAAGGGCGAGCGATGGGTGATGATGAAAAGCTTGGCCTCATATATTTAGCAAAGTGAGTTCAAATTAAATTATATAGCTAACTTTATTGCCTTATATATTGATGTAATTTTTTTCTTCAGATTGTATGTAGTTATAAATAGACCAAATGATGCTGCAAAAATGTTTTTAGAATACATTGAAGAACACGGACTAGATGAACAGACTCGCGATCACAGCTATGCTTATATGTTTCTTGCTAACTATAATCTAACTCGTATGAACTATGATCAAGCTTTTCATTATGCTCAAAAATGTTTGAACTATGCAGAAACCAAAGAAGAAGCTAAAGCGTTATTAAAAACTATAGTTCATGAAAGAATATTCATGCAAATTGATAACATATTGAATGATAGTATGAGGCAGAAACAATCGAAAGATTACGATAAAGAAGAAATGCCCAGACAGTTAGAAATGTTGTCGCTTACTCAAAAATCTGAAGTGAATCAAAATGAAAATGATGACGATGACGATGACGATAGCGATGAAGAACATTTGTGTAATTCCATCTCAAGGTATTTGGATTTGGTGGATTACAGTGAATGTAATATTGAATCAGAGTAATTTAAGTTTGTAAAATAACATAAAGTAAAGTTGTGAAATAGATTATTTTTATATTTTTAGTTGTAGAATAATTAATTTTGTTCAAATTGAAAAAAAGATTCAAGATTTTCAAGAAGAAAAATTTGATACGTATTGACAAGGAATAGGTATATACTGACAGGAATAGTTGTGTACCGCCTTTTATTGAAGTCTGAGTCCAATACGTTCCAGTATGTATTGCTTGTATAGTGCAAGTATAACTTCTTGAACACTCAAAATTTTCCTGATATGTATATCAATACACATTTCTTTCTGAATATCTTAATTATGATTACTGAATTTTTTTCATTGTCTTTTTTTATTTAAATAAGACTGATAAATTATTTATTTAAACTTTATAATATACAATTTTATATCATATAAATTATTATATAAACATTTCTATATATTTTATACATTAAATAAAATAATATATTATAGGCATATGTGAGATTTAGGGATGACTGATCAGTAAATAATACCTGCATGGTTAATTGCTTTACTTTATTAGAAATTAGATTATTATAAATATAAAATAAAACAATAAACACATTCCCATATTAAAAAATACAATAGAAAAAACACAATATTACAATGCACACTCTATTTCTCACTAACTACTGCTGGCTACTCTAGTTTTCTAATATGTTTATAAACACAACTTATATATAAGTGCAACAAGTATTTGAATTTTGATGTAACCGGTACCGAGTCGTACCACTTATAGTTTTGTTTGTTTTATTTTATGTAAGTTGTTATACTACACAATATATTTGTGTTAAGGTTATTTTGTAAATGGAGTTTTTTCCTTCAATAAAAAATAATAATTATGTATTCCAATATATTTCTACTATTTTGCTTTATAATTTGTATTAAAGCTAAGTTATGACATCGGATACATTAGATTCAATTTAATAAGAAAATGTATATATCTATGTAAAAAGTTTAAAAAAAGAACCTTGTAACTAGTCAATGCTTACACTTCAACCTTTGTAATATTATAAGGTAAGTACCGTCGTTCCAGTCGACTTGGAAGTTGAAACTGAGGAATGAGAAGTGACTTGGGAGCAGGGATGGATAGGCGGGATTCAGTCGGATCACTATTATGAAAAAAAAATCACAATGTAGGTATATTTGATCTATCACTATCACTACTTTAACTTTTAGAACTTAAGATAATTTTTAAATCAACTGTGAAAAGCTAAGTTATTTCAACTACCAATTAAACTAGTTAGGTTAAAAAGTTTATTAGAAAATAAACTAACTAGTCAATGCCCACCTTTCCTATCCTCCTATTATTGTTGAATGAATATTTTCTTTTATAATTATTATCGAGTTGATAAATTATGTTTACTATATTCTAGCTGGGACTCCTGGAGAAATCTATATCATAACTTGAAACCGATATTGGATACCTATTTTAAATAGTGGTTACGTCAATTGTTAAAAATCGAAATCCATATCGAAACCAAAATCAATATCTGAAAAAATAAATACGTATAATATATTATATACATCCAACACTGAAATCGAAATCGGAAAAAATGTTTTGGTTTCAAACCCTCCAAAAACATTGAGAGTAGGTATTATATAGAATTTCTTTTTTTATGAAATTCACATGATATTTAGCAATTACACTACTTTTGATCTTAAAATGTTGGTGATGTTTGCAACTGATAAAGGAAACTAATATAAAATATATTTTAAAAAAATTATAATCCATACATCAAATTGTAAATATCAATATTTTCCAAAACAGTGTGTATTAAATATCTATTGTACATTGATTTGTGTAGAAATAGATACCTAGTTAAAATAAGAATATTGAATGTAGTACAATTGTTGAGATTTTAATAATAATTCGTCGGTAATTGGAACGTTTTAAGTACCTATATTATCTTATTTTATACACGGAATTTTTGAAAAAAACTTATTCAATCTACTGTATTTGGCCTCATATAACAAACATATTTTTTTAATGTCAATAGGTACTTAGCTGTGAAAATAAAAACTACATTTTTAACCGCAAAAAAAATTAGGAATGTTTATAGATTTCGATGAATTTTGTCAAAACTTGAACTTAAAATGCTTATAAAAAAATCATCTTTATATTTTTTTAATATTTGTGAGCTTCTATTATAACAACTTACAAGGTTCCTTGTATTTAATTTTCAAGGTTTTTCAAATATAGACTGTATAATGTATATTATAGGTAACTTGCTTGGTTATAGCCTATAGGGTTTGTAAATTGTTTGAGCTTCTCTCCACTTATTTGGAGTGGGACATAACAAAAATTAAGTTTAACAACTTGTATATCTATGGACTATGACTATGGCTATCCGGTTGCATTAAATTTTCAAACCTATTATACACAAAAAGAAAAATTGATAAATATCAAACTGGAAATAATTTGCCAACTTTCCTGACTATGATGAATTTTGTCTACATTTCAACTTCAGGAATTCATAATAAATTATTTTACTCTATACTTTTTTTCTAATTTCCACTATAACAACAACAAGGAACTTAGGAACGTAGTAATACAAATCCATGATGAAAATAATCAGGTATGATCGCATTGAAAACGACTTCATGGTATGTAGTGCGCACCACATTTGTCGTGTATAAAGTGACGTCGGCTGTGGAACATCATAAAAGGAACTTCAATGTATTTGTTGCGCACGTGACGTCTGCAGCGTCATGACTCATGAGCATCGGATCTGCGAGATCATACTTGGACACCTGGTTATTTCTATCATGTACATATCCAAGTTTTTTGACCCAACAAAACATTTTTCATCTACAATAATTAAGAAAAACAAATAAACACGTTTATAATTTCAAATTTTATTTATATAGGTTATACTCTGTCGGTTATAGTATAAAATAATTGGTTCGACGAATTTAGTTTTACTTTGAACGTGTATAATACGAGTATATCGAATTTTAATCGAAAATGTTTTTAACTAAAGTCATTCAATAAAAAAATTTTGCTAGTTAATTATTAATTAATTCCCGTACAGCTGGCCGAGCTGTTCAAACTTTGCCTACTTGCCTAATAGAATTGTATTTTTAGTTTGTATGAACAAATACTTAAACATAAGTTACAAGATATCGCCGTGATTACTTATATTCAAAAACGATTCATGTAACATTTGTAGGTACCTACTCTAAATTGTATTGCTAAGGCTATTACATGCAGGCTTAATTTTTAGTTAGGTTTAACTAGCTAGGTACACTTAAATCTTGAATTTAAAAAATAAACAAATACAGTAGTACCTATCTATGAATTTTATTTTTAAAATAGTTTTTAACCCAAATTCCTTATACCTTACCATTTTTTGTAAGCACAGGTAGTAGCTGGCCAGCTGTTCATCGTCTTATTTGGGCCGTAACACGTTTGGGTACAGTAGACCCTAAACGCAACACGTTTGGGCACAAATGAATACACCGTTTGGGTACACCATATCTCTAGAAATATAACACGTTTGGGTACATAGGAAATAGGTATTAATATAACATTTAGAAACACCTAGAAAAATAACACTTTAATTATTAATCATTAATTTTAAATTTTTAGAGTCTATTAGCGTTATCCAGGAGACACCACGAGGAGGTTGGCTCTATTTAGAGCTTAGAAATAAAAATAATTTAGCACGCGCAATCGTACGCCTAAAAAGGTACCGCTGATAAGGACCGCGCGCAATCGTATTGCAGCCGTATTTGTGTACCCAAACGTGTTCTACATTTACAGGTAAAAATAATGTAATGTACCCAAACGTGCTTCGCCCCTTATTTGTGAGTCTTATATTTTATTACAATTATACTTATATTTTATTGGTGAGCCAAACAGGCATTGTATTATACCGCATTATATTTACATTGCGTGAGCGCTAAGCGCCACTCTTTTATATCTAATATTAAACTCTGTTGGGCCAGGGGGGCCATTTATATAATTTATTCTGTTGGGCCAGAAGGGCCGATTTCATTTTACTTTACTTGTGTGTTGCTGTGAATTCTATATTTTTATTGTGTATTATTTAAATTTATGTACAATGTAGCGAATTAATTACCCAAATGTAGTTACCACTTACTGTTTTGAGTTACCCTGGTCCAACATTTTCCTTTTTTTGGATATATATTTTTTTAACATTTACCTACAAAAATGTATTTTTATTTTTATAATCACTGTACATTATATTATACGAGGAAAAATAATAATTGTATTTGATGATTGATATACAAATATGCAATTATAATGGCAAAAAATACACAGTGATGATGATTCATGAAATAATTACATTGCACCGTAAAAAAGAACAGATTAAACTTGTCTCTTGATTTTATAATACTTCACTATTCAAGTTTAAAATTTATTATTGTAACTTGTAGATATTTAGACAAAATTTTATCAGTGCCTTCAGTTAAGTTTTCACTACATTTAATTTTACTATGGTAAAATAGTACATCATTCGATAGATGGGGGGGGGGGAGGTGGGAGTATGCAATTTCTCGACCAAAACCCGACTAATAATATGTGTATTTTCAAACTGAGCTCCGTTGATAGTCGCTGTGTCACTGTTTAGTAATTAGTATTTATTAAACACATCTAAGCAAAATTGTGTATTAGAGCATTTCCTGTCGGCCCTGAAGCTAGTGCTTAAAAATACACATTATTTACTAAAGCTTTAAAAAAAAAAAAAAATATATAGCATTTAAACCGGCAAATGTTGAATAATAATATTCTCTTGTTATATTGTATTAGTTGTTATTAAGTAAACAACTTATTGTGAACATTATTTACATTGTGCTGGGGATTGTGGTTGGAACCATGTCGCTTATAAAAGAAATGGAGAAGTTATATTTTATATCAGTTATTATTGTTCAACGTTCACATTATTTTTCATTATTTTCTCAGACGACCCTATAAAATCAAAATGATTTTTTTCAAGCAGTCTTTAATAACGTTGACATTTATAGTATTTGCAGTTTTGATTATGCCTACAGCTTCAATGGATATTGCTCAACGAAGAAGACAATTAACCGGTAAGGATTTTTTCACTGATCAACAATATAGTTATATAATTTGTTTTTTGTATAATATTTATAAAATATTCTAGAATTAGTTTCAAAAAGTATTAAAAAATAATTGGATAGCCGCGCGATGTTAGAATATTTTTCATAGTTTACTTAATTTATAAGATATAGACAAGATTGAATAATAAAAAACGATTGTTTTTAGATTATTGTAACGGTAATATTTTTAAAATTATTAGCATTGATTTTAAATACTAAGTATTATTTAGTAACATAGAATATTTATAATAATTTACTAAACTCGTACAAAAAAAAAGTTTAACTGGTCTAAAACTTGCACACTGGGGAAATCATTTGCAAATAAATTCTTAATTCTAAATAGAAAAATGTTATGGAGATTATTGGGCCAATAAAAGGAGTTGTTACAACAAAGCGGATGACATAGAATAAATAGAGAGTTGGAAACATTTTAGGGAAAATAATTATTGTGGAGACAATAAGATAAAGATAAAAGTAGATTGTGCTGGACAGGAAATGCGACGGGGGAACGAAACTCATTACTATAAGCTAAAATGGAACAGAATCTGAAAGGAAATAGACCTCTTGGTAAAACTAAAAGTTAGGTTGGACAATACAGTTTAGGGGGACTTCTGAACAATAGGATACGGATCAAATTGGAAAACTATGGCATTAAGTATAGATAGTTGGAGAAATGGTTGTGAGATGGGATGGCTCTATTGGTCAGATAAATCAAAAAAG